ACATGTAAATAATTGGTTTATATGAAAGTTATAGCGTCTACAAATGGCGGTATATATACTGGAATTTTTTTGTTTAATACTAATAATGGTGGCAATCAGCGACTTATGGCGGCATTCAGCGACTTATGGCGGCAATCAGCGACTTATGGCGGGACTGCGGCGGACATTCTGACACTGAGGGGGAACTGACTTGGCGCCACTGACATCCCCAGTGACACCAATGCAGTGATCAGTGCAAAAAAAAGCACTGACACTGTACTAAATTCACTGGGGAGGAAGGGGTTAACATTTGAAGGCAATCAAAGGGTTTACTGTGTGAGGGGAGTGTTTCACTAGGGAGCGGGGGGGGGGGGTGTGCTTCACTGTAAGCACACTGATCCAGAAGGCTGTGCTCAGACTGACAGGGAGGAGAGCTGCTTTGAAAACAATGCAGCCTTCCTCCCCGTCAGTGTTTGCTGGTAATCAGTGGGCTCTGGCGGGTAATCACCGGCCAGGACCCGGTGATTGACACCTATGGCCGCGATCTGCGGCGTGGATAGGGCAGTTGCACGCCTCACACGCGCCCCTTACCCGAAATACAAAATCATGTATATATTTGTGATTTTGCGCATCGGTGCCGACCTGCCGCAGTAAATGTACTGTGGCTGGTGGGCAAGTGGTTAACCACTTCAATACCGGGCACTTTCACCCCCCTCCTGCCCAGGCCAATTTTCAGCTTTCAGAGCTGTGGCAATTTGAATAACAATTGCGCAGTCATGCAACACTGTACCCATGGGATATTTTTATCATTTTTTTCACACAAATAGAGCTTTCATAAGCAGTGTTTAATCACCACTGGGTTTTTTTTTTTTTTTTTGCTAAATAAACAAAAAAAGACTGAAAATTTTGAAAGAAAACGCGTTTTCTTAGTTTCTGTTATTACGTTTTGGAAAATAAATAATCTTTTTTCATAAATTTAGGCCAAAATGTATTCTACTACATTTCTTTGGTGAAAATAACCCAAATCAGTGTTTAATATTTAGTCTGTAGAAAGGTTATAGAGTCCATAAACTATGGTATATATCTGAAAATCTATCAATCCTGATATACTGACGGCCTATCTCATTTCTTGGCCCAGAAATGTCAGGACAATACAAATATCTCCCCCTTTTTGGAAAGTAGACAGTCCAACGTATTTAGTAAGAGGCATGGCATGTTTTTTGAAGTTTTTTAATATTTTTTGTCACAATTGTTTTAAAAATAAAGAAATTTAAAAAAAAAGTTTTTACAATTTTTTTTAAAAAAATACTGTCACCAGTGCAGTACAATGTCATCATATAACTGGTGTGGCAGTGATCAGGGACACTGGCTGGTGACAGTATGTAAAAAAATAATTTTATTTCAATTTTTAATTACTTTTTTATTCTTTTTTCACTATTTTTTAGCACACTGTGACCAGAGCAAAACAGTATTACCATAGTAACATTGTACTACTCTGGGGAAGTGATCAGGATAGGCTGTGATTGGTCCTGTCTGTACCATGTTATCACTGTGATCAATCACAGCTAGCAATACAATTGTACAGAATGAATGTCATGAATCGAAGCCATTCATTGTTTACAGTTGTAATGTGATCTGCTATGATTGGTCACATCGATCACATGGTACCAGCAGCGTCCCATTACAATGATCTGTCCTCGGCTGTGTCCAGTAGACACAGCTGGTGACAGATCAAGCCGCAGACTGGCTGCATGGCCGCACGCGAGGCTCCTTCCAGGAGGTCCTCATATGTCGTCCACTCATAATGACAAAAGTCCCGCCCAGCAGTCATTTTCCCAATAGGCTGGGCAGGAATTTTATAATGTGAATAGTGATGGGTAAGTCAAGCTATACATACAGCAGAATCAGTCAATTTAAAAATGTTAGATTCACCTAGTTATTTGTTACCTGGCCTTTGTTATAAACACCAGAGCAGTCTGTGTGTTATGAAAATCTGCAGTGTCTGCCTGCCTTGGGAAGTAGATGGATCTTAGAAAGCGTTGCACCAATAATGGAACTCTTATTGCAATGGATGTCTAAAAAGCAACCTGTAACTCAGTGTAGAGTACTGAGACAAACAGTGAGCCACTCACACAAGCAGAAAAAATAAATTTGAGGGCAATGTACAAAACACCTTCATGTTTGATTGCAAGGAAGCATGAATTTTTGATAGTTTAAAAAGAAGTAGCTGACTGCATATTGAATTGCAAAGCTCATTTTTCATAAGATTCATTTACAAAATGGCTTGTGTATGCAAATAGGTTTACAAAGTGGAATTATTCTTGAAAAGTATTTTTTACTTTCAAGGAGTTCTATGGTCACAGCGTACACATACATATACATTCATTTTATAACATCATCATTGTAACAGCGATACACCAATAGTTATTTGTGACAATCCAATATAAGTTTACTTGAAAAAATGTCCTTTCATGTTGTACTGCCTGCCTACTGGTCTTCTCTTTCCACAACTTCCTGTTTTCTCTGCATGCTTTGCAGCTCCTCCTCTGCTGTTTACTTTCACTTTCAATGGCTACATATCCCATGTTACTCTGCTGTCTGCAAGCAGTGATTCCTGTACTGACTCTTGAAACTCCTCCACTCAGCACCTCTGTAGTTCAGAAGGCAGGCTTTGTGAAATGTGTGACACAGCAGTGCCTACTAACAGGGCATAATGAATACCTGTCACAGAATTCCAGGAAGTAAATGTGTAGGGATCTTTGCAACATAAGTTTACAAATGTCAAGGTTATTAGGAGTAGGCCAAAATAATTTAAATAAAATGTGGAAATGAATACAGAATTTTACATTTTGACCATAGATATCCTCTAAAGTGAATTTCTTGACAATAACAATGAAACTCCTCCTAATTGGGCATTTACATCCCTTTCTAACGAGGCCATTTTTTGCGATACGGCAACCGCTTCCTGACCGCCCTATAGCAGAAATACTGCTACAGGGCAGCGCGGGTACGCAATATCATAAATATGCGTGATTTTGCATTTTCGGGTATGGGGCGTGCCATTCGCGGTTGTGGCTGTCAATCACCGAGTCCCAGCCAGTGATTACCCACCGGCGCCCGGTGATTACCGACGATCACCGACAGGGAGGAGGGGCTGCTTTGTTTACTAACAGTCCTCCTCCCTATTGGCTCGGGCACACTGCTCTGGATGGCTGTGCACAGCCATCCAGAGCAGTGTGCTTACAGGGAAGCACACACCCCCCGCTCCCTAGTAAAACACTCCCAGCACACAGTAAACCTTTTGATCACCCCTCATGTTAATCCCTTCCTGCCCAGTGCCATTAGTACAGTGTCAGTGCTTTTTTTGCCTTGGATTTACGAGGGAAAAGATGGTCATGGGGAGCCCCCAGATGCCCAGACTATATGGGGAGCAGTGGCAAGATAGTTTGGGACTTGGTGTCAATCTTTTTCCATATGGAGTACCACTTATACGTGGACAATGTTTATTCAAGCAGGCCATTTGTACAATCTTGGAATTGGCGCATGTGGCACCGTGTGACCTAATCACCAGAGCTTCCCTCAACGGCTTGTAACTACCCATCTTAGAAAGGGGGAAAAAGCCTGCTTGAGAAATGAGGATGTCATTCAGCTGTAGCACTGAATTGTTTATTCTGACAGCAACAGGGTTTTGCTCTCACAATATACATAAGTAGGTGTGTGCAGTGCTGTTGGATGAGATTTTTCATCCACGGTTAAAAAAAGGGCATATATGCTGAAGCATGGGGGCCTGGGGTGGCCAGTGGATGGCCCCTATGCTTCAGCATATATATTTTATAATATTTTTTGGCACATTTCAATGTGTCCACCATTAGATGTGGGTGGATGCTGGGTGGTATATTCTAATGGTGGGCATACCACACACTTTTTCTGGCAGAGATTTATTCTCTTTTTTTCATTTAGCCCACAGGCTGCATAAAAAGAAAAAGAACATAGCATATACATGTTCACGTTTACACGCTCCTGAAAGCCGCGACATTGAGCTGTCACTGTGTCCAGGTGGGCAGCCCTACTGTTCTGCAAAAAGTTCAAGGCTAAAAGACAGAGCCTGCCAGTAACAGTCAAATATACAGTATAGGCTCTCCCTCAGTCCTTTTATTGGGCAGCTTTCTAGGGTGTGTAGATTAGAAAATGCTCTGAAATACAGTGATGGTTGACTGCAGGACTACAAGTCCCAGGATCCTCTGCTCTGATCCAGAAAAAAGAACTCCACTCCTCTGTAGACAGGACGTGATGCAGAGGTGTGAGTGCAGGCACTAGAGGGAAACTATGTAGTCTATAGCTCTGTAGGATTATGTCCTCCTGATTCATCTTGCAGTAGCCAGCACCTGGCTCTATGAATATAATGATAAACATAACCTCTTTACTGCACTATTCTACCAGATTCCATATGAGGAATCTACCCTGATAAGTCATAATGAATAGAAGTTTGTACTTTTTAACATGCTATGATTCATATACTGCAGGCATGTCCAAAGTCCGACCCGCAGGCCAATTGCGGCCCGCGTTCCGGACTGAAACGGCCCCACAGGTGAGCTACCCAAATATATAACTTACGGCCCCCGGTAGTGATTCCCTGAAAACTACTGAGGACTCCAGCTATCTCTTGACATCATCAGCTGGCGCAGGAAGGAGAGCCCAAATCTCGCGACGTCCGAGATCTCGTGAGATTTGGGCTTTCCTTCTCTGTGTGCCAGCTGATGACGTCAATTCTTCCTCGACAGATCCCTAGAGTTCTCAGTGGCGTTCGCAGAATCACTAGTGGAGGGCCGTAAGTTATATATTGGGCAGCTCATCTGTGGGGTCCGGAACATGGGCCGAGGGATCCCAGGTGGTGCGCAGGGAATTACTACTGGGGCTACCATTTACCGTATTTTTCGCTCCATAAGACGCACTTTTTCCCCCCAAAAAAAGGGGGGAAAAATGTCAGTGTGCTTCTTATGGAGCGAATATAAAGCGGCCGGTCCGGTATTTCTGCCGCTACCATGTCAGAATACCGGGCCGGCCGCTCAGCTGTTGTCTCCTGCAGGGCCTTACCTGTTCCTCGCTCCAGCGTTGCACAGTCTTCCCGCGCTGGCTTCTGTGACAGCCAGGTGCCCACTGCGCATGCGCTTTGCTTTGTGAATGGTCATCGCAGTCTCTGGTCATCTGTACTGTGTCCGCAGTCTCTGGTCATCTCCTGTACTGTGTCCGCAGTCTCTGGTCATCTCCTGTACTGTGTCCGCAGTCTCTGGTCATCTCCTGTACTGTGTCCGCAGTCTCTGGTCATCTCCTGTACTGTGTCCGCAGTCTCTGGTCATCCCCTGTACTGTGTCCGCAGTCTCTGGTTATCTCCTGTACTGTGTCCGCAGTCTCTGGTCATCCCCTGTACTGTGTCCGCAGTCTCTGGTCATCTCCTGTACTGTGTCCGCAGTCTCTGGTCATCTCCTGTACTGTGTCCGCAGTCTCTGGTTATCTCCTGTACTGTGTCCGCAGTCTCTGGTCATCTCCTTTACTGTGTCCGCAGTCTCTGGTCATCTCCTGTACTGTGTCCGCAGTCTCTGGTTATCTCCTGTACTGTGTCCGCAGTCTCTGGTCATCTCCTGTAGTATGTCCGCAGTCTCTGGTCATCTCCTGTACTGTGTCCGCAGTCTCTGGTCATCTCCTGTACTGTGTCCGCAGTCTCTGGCCAGCTCCTGTACTGTGTCCGCAGTCTCTGGCCATCTCCTTTACTGTCCGCAGTCTCTGGCCATCTCCTGTACTATGTCCGCAGTCTCTGGCCATCTCCTGTACTATGTCCGCAGTCTCTGGCCATCTCCTGTACTATATCCGCAGTCTCTGGTCATCCCCTGTACTGTGTCCGCAGTCTCTGGTCATCTCCTGTACTATGTCTGCAGTCCATTGGTTCAGAATTTTTTTTTCCTGTTTTTCGCCCTAAAACCTAGGTGCGTCTTATGGTCAGGTGCGTCTTATGGAGCGAAAAATACGGTATCAATTTGGGCTATAATGGAATGGTGCTCAGGATCGCTTGACGTCATCAGACAGTGCAAGGAGAAACAAAGCCCAAATCTCGCGACCTCCGAGATCTCGCGAGATTTGGGCTTTCCTTCTCCCTGTGCTGGCAGAGTGATTTAACACCTGTTTAGATTTGTCATCCAAGTCACAAAATGAAAAGTATGCCGTTTTCAATAAACTTTTGCATAAAATAGTTCATGTGCATTTAATTTTAATGGTTCATCAGAATGTCGGGCAAAATGGTCGGCCCTCGCACATGTTCACTTCATCAAATCTGGCACTCTTCCAAAAAAGTTTGGACACCCCTGATATACTGTATCAGCATGGCTTTTTTTCAGAGGAATCACAGGGGAATGCAAATTCAGCACTAAATGTATCTACTGGCAAGGGGCGCTGGGGTTCGCTGGAGGGTCCTTTGATGCTGACTGTCAGGGGAGATATTGTGGTGGGGGAGGGGAATCTATTGTTATGGGAGCAGTCTACTGTTGCAGGGGGTCTTTTGCTGTTGGGGGTGGTCAATTGTGGCTTGGAGGGATCTATTGTTGAAGGAATGGTCTGTTGTTGCTGGCTGCTGAAGAGTCTACTAATGCTGGCTGATCTATTGTTGCTGGCAGGGCCTATTGTTCCTCCGGTTGATTGATTGTTCCTGGGGGGGTATTTGTTGCATGATGTCTATTGTTTCTAGGGGGTATATTGTTGCGGAGGGGATCTATTGTTGCTGGGGGATCTATTGTTACTAGGACAGGATATTTTGTCTGTCTCCAGATAATCTATTTTACTGCTTTTCTTGTTATCTTTAACAGGTGCTATACAAATTACTTGGAACCACAAAACAATATTTGGTTCTGTTTTCTCTAAAAAGGGCAGTACTTGAAGGTGGGCAAGGAGTGGAACCAAGGGACAGTGCTCAGAGGTGGGTAGGGGGCAGAGACAAGGGGTGAGTCAAAAGGGGGGAGTACATGCACCTATTCTCTGAGGAAAAAAAGCCCTGTATATCACATATCTCTTATCAGTGCAAATGTAAATTTCTGCTTCATTGGATACATTGCAAGATATTATCCTTGCCTGGTATTAACCTCGATGATGATGGCATCACTTTGAAAATTAGACATTAGACATTGAGACATCTCCATAATTATCAAGGGAAACATAATGTAGGACCCTACAGCATCTGGCTTATAGCTAAAGACATTCATAGACAAGACTGTAGAACAGCACAATGCAAGATTTGTTTTAGAATTTGCATTCTTCTGAGACATTTAATGAAAGTGCTCCGAGGCATATAATTAATCCAAAAAGACAACAGGACAGCTAGGTATCAAACAACTCATTTATAATAAATTAGCTTAATTCCAGAAACTGAGTTAAGACCAGTAAACATGGCTGGTGTAACTATCAGTACAGTAACAACAGAACAAACAAATAATTAGAAATTACAAGATACTTTTCTTCCGTTAATATTACAGTATAAGCAATTACTGCACTTATAGAATAAAACTACAGGTATGTGTCTAAAAAACACTTCTTAGCAGAGGTCTATACAGGATGTGTGAAAGTATCTTAACTGCTGCCACGTGGGGAATAATTAGTGGGATGAAAATTCCAGAGGGAGCTTTCTGTTCAATCTGTCACAGGTCTAATGGCAGGTCCCATATAGTCATTGCCTCAGGGATATTTAAACATTTAATTGATCCCCTTGCTATTGCACTTAGAACAAAGCTTTTTAACCCAGCATATGCAGCTTTATAAAGTGCCATCAACTGCATCATGGTATTGTAAGGCTGTATAACTTTTATACACAGCTTTAGATTACTGGAATATGTTCAGCAAAGTCAAGTGCATTCATTTGAGAAGCTTTATTTTGCTGCACTTAACTGGACCGATAAAAACGTCACTAGCAATTTTACTTGTAAAATCTATAAACAATATGTGCAAGGTATTGTTATATGCTCCTCCACTCCTACCCTTAGGTGTTTTATGTAAAAAAAAAAAATGTAGTTTGGAGTGTTATTTTCTTCTCTATGTGCTGTCCAGAATGCATACTTAATGTGCCTTTCTCTTTGTACTGCAAGGGAGCTGGTTGGAGAGTCTTTATAAGCTGTGATTCCCCATACCCAGGATTGAAAACTAAATCTCAAGATAAGTACTGCAGTCTACATAATCCCCTAAATACAGAAAAAATTATTCAGTTATTTAACCTAGTAAACTACATATATGACTTTAAGGGGTTTATTTACTAAAGCTGGAGAGTCCAAAATCAGACCCCCTTCTGCCTAGAAACCAATCAGCTTCTAACCTCAGCTTGTTCAATGAAGCTTTGGCAATGAAACCTGGAAGCTGATTGGTTTCTATGCAGAAGGGAGTCTGATTTTGGACTCTCCAGCTTTAGTAAATAAACCCCTAAATGTCCATTCGAGAAAAACATAACTTTAAAGTAATACCCTCAAAACCAAGTTTTGTTAATTCTCATATACAGCAGGGTATCTCTGTGGTCTTGTAGTGCTGGGGTTCTAGATAGTATACTGCCTGTGACACTATGCAGTTTTATGTTTAACTCTTGTTTGTGTGGGTTTCTTGCAAGTGCTGCAAGATCCTTCACCAACCTAAGAACTTAGTGGTAGGTTAAAGTGTACCTAAGTAAAGTCCAGGAAACTTGCAACATGAGTTAATGGGAGGGACCTTTGGTGCCTAAACATACCTTTAGTTTATCTAGGAGTGCGCTAAGAACCCCACAACCCCACAATGAATCTTAAACATTGGGCTGGTAGGGTGATTAGCAGAGGGCGGCGACCGGCAGTGAACAGTTGGTAAGGTGGATCAGTCTAGCAGCAGCATTCAAGACTGAAGTGGGATAGCCTGTGTAAAGGAAAACCCATGCGATAAGCGCTTAGGAGCAAAATCAACAGGCCTTAGGCTTTACCTACTTAAAAAAAAATAATATCTGGGGGAATTTTAATTGTATTTTTGGCATTTGTCCAATATAAAATAACCCCCATCCACTTTGGAAAGTCCTGTCTGATTTTCAACAGACATCTGAAAGTGAGTGGGAATGTGACTAGTGTGGGAAACCCTAGTTAAGCAGCCTACAAATATTAGATGACAACCACCTTTAGCCCTGGTTCACACCAATGAATTTAAAAAGTAGTTCCTGCACAGCTTTTGCTGATTCTGTTGCGACTTGCATTGACATCTGTGCATGAAGTCGCACAGATATCTTACAAGTCACACTGGCATGCCACTCTGAAATTGTACAACTTCAAAGTCGTATTCAATGTGAGCCCAGGCTCAGTCTTTCTTAAGCATGAGTTACCCAGCCCCTTATTGGTCTGTCTAAGGCATCAGATGAACTTGCATGTTTTGTGTCTATGGAGGTGGGAGAGAGGAACACTGCAGCTGGACCTGTCTTGGGAAAACAATAATGATGGGCTGGAAAAATCCAACAAAGCTCAGACAGGGTCGGGGAGGTTTATACAGAGTTATGAATTTCTCATGATCCAATCGTAAACAGTTAAATCAGAAGAACATTCTCTAATGTCTGTACTTTATTTCTTTCCCCAAGTTCTGACAAAAACATAATTTACAAGGGGTGCCGTAGACACATCAGAAAGGGGAATTATCTAAATATAAATGATGGGATCTAAAATGGAAAGATAGAGCGTATACAACCTATAATATATATATGTAATCACAGTGAGTGCTTAACCAAATAAAAAAGTCAATGTATAGGTATCCGCAGTAAATCACTGTATGGATGCGAATTCCCACGGCCTCCACTCTGTCAAAATAGTAGAAATGCGCACTCACCGGAAACGCATAGGATATGCGCATGTGTGATTATGCATCACAGGCAATGGGAACATCAGAGGTTATGCAGCCAGGCATCTCCCTCATGGTGGGTCATCACAGACTCTTTGATAAGGTCCAGGGGTCCCCTTAAGGTCAGCCAGGTATTGTAAAGGAATCTCCTCTCAGAATGGCAAGAGTGTTTTCACTGTGGGAATGAAAGCTCCAAATAGGAGCCCCAGAAACAGATGTCAGAGATAGTGTAGTATGTCCAAAAATCAGTGCTTTATTGATAGAGATAACAGGGCAGTAACAGGGCAGTATGCATGTAAATCATATAATAATGACATAGATATGCAGCAGTACTGACCCTTAATAGTGATGACCGCCGGGCCTCCTCGTGGCTCCGGCGGTGGAATGACGTCACGCTCTGCACAGCTCTTCCTTAGGCCTTTCGTGCTACAGGCACAGCCTCCCCTCTGATGATGTGCCTGTAGCACGAAAGGCCTAAGGAGGAGCTGTGCAGAGCGTGACGTCATTCCACCGCCGGAGCCACGAGGAGGCCCGGCGGTCATCACTATTAAGGGTCAGTACTGCTGCATATCTATGTCATTATTATAT